TACCATAATTAAAAGAAAAAAAAACAATAAAGGGAAAACAAAAGTTCTGAGGCCTAAATCAATGGAATCAAATTAAGCAAACAGAACAGCAAGGCCTGCAGGATGCCTGGGTGGCTCAGTAGTTAAGCATCCCACTCCTGGTTTCCCTTCAGGTCATGATCTCCTGGTTGGGGAGTTCAAGGCCCACATCAGACTCTGCACTGACCATGTGAGGCCTGCTTGGGATCCTCTCTCTCCCTATCTACCCTTCCCCTGTTCATGCATTATCTCCAAAAATAAATAAACTTATATATATATATTAAGAAAAGAACAGCTAAACCTGCAAACTCAATTGAATACTATTTGCCTAAGTCACTGCCATCTTGTTTTCTGTCCACACAGCCAGCCCAAATCCTGACTAACATAAGAGCCATAGAGAAACTGTCTAGAGCTGGGGTTAACTCTTAAAAACATTTTTTAAAAATATTATCAATGTTCCTTGTAGATGATGAACACAAACTACAAATCAACCATATTTCCATTGTCTGGAAAGAAAGAATCTGTTCAGATCTTTTTTTTACACACAGAAGCATAAACTTTTCCCTAAAAAGATATTAGATATTTTAGTAAACTCAACTACATGAATGCATTGCCTGTATACTTAACACTGACACATCTTTCACTATGTACAGGCAGCGTTCTGTTACTGCAAATACTCGGCGCCCGGACAAGAAACACGCACTCAGGGAATCAGAAAAAAGGATTCCTTCTGCACAGGTGCTGCTGGCCCGTGGAGTCATCGCCAAAGGCTGAGCCCCGAACTTTGGCGTCAGCCTCCTTTTATGGCTGGGATTGTAGGGGCTGGAGAGGAAAAAACGAAAAAGGGGAGGGGGCCCTTATCAGTGGTGCTGTGCAGGCAGTTGGTGGATGCAGGAGGAAAGCAACGTTACAGAAGCCAAAAACATGCAAGGGGAGCACCTGGTCTCGGAGATCTGGTTGATCCCCTTTTTTCTCTGTCCTTAGCAGATTTCCTTCTCACTTTTGTCAGCTTCCCTTCTCAGTTCTATGTGTGATAAATATATAGTAACTCATTTAATCATCCCAATAACCCATGAGGTTGGTATTGTTACCTTGCTTTCAAAGATAAGAAAACTCAGACAAAGACTGAGACTGCAAAAAGTCTGACTCTAGAGGCACCTGTTCTCAACCACTATGACCAAATCACTTCTGCTAGATGCTTGGAATTTACGGAATGTTTTGATATCAGAAACAAAAATTGGGGGGGGGGGGCGCCTGGGTGGCTTAGTCGGTTAAGCGTCCAACTTTCGCTTAGGTCATGATCTCACGGTTCGTGGGTTCGAGCCCTGCCTCGGGCTCTGTGCTGACTGCCAGCTCAGAGCCTGGAGCCTGTTTCGGAGTCTGTGACTCCCTGTCTCTCTGACCCTCCCCTGCTCACGCTGTCTCTCTCTCTCTCTCCTAGAAATAAATAAAACATTAAAAAAATTAAAAAAAAAAAAGAAACAAAAATTTGGGGTGCTCGGGTGGCTCAGCGGATTAAGCAACCAACCCTTGACTTTGACTCGCGGTCGTGGGTTCAAGCACCATATAGGGCTTTGTGCTGGCAGCACGGCCTCTGCTTGGGATTCTCTGTGTGTGTCTCTCTCTCTGCTCCTTCCCCACTCATTCTGTCTCTGTCTCTCTCAAAATAAGTAAACTTAAAAAAATTCAATGAGCATTCTTAAAGACAAATATTTAGACACAAAAATAATCACAATAAAAGTTCCTGAACTTGAAATCATGGCTCAAGTTACACTATAATTTAAAGCTTTTGATACAACTCATACGTTTTTGAAATGGTCAGCCTTACCTTTGTGGGAAAGCACACAGATTCACAGTCAGGGAAAAGATTCTCTGTGAAGTACACAGCACCATAATTTGGTTGTGAACAAACCTTGAAGGTCATATATTCTGTAAGTACAGAACAAAAATTGGAATATCACTTGCTCTTTTTTTTAAAATTCCTAATGTTTCCCCTTGACTACAAGACTCCTGGTAAGAATGTTTTATTAGCATCTTATTTCTGAAACACCCTGCAATAACAACCACCTTCCAATACTTCTTTACCCAATAAAAATCGGATAGAGAGATACAGATGGATATCATCTGTAAAGCTGTGCCCCAAATAGTGATCTCCCCCCAAACAGCTTAATATGTAATTGATATTTACAATTTGATAATGACCCATTCCCTAAAATGGCCCCCAGTAATGAATGCAATGAACACAATGAAGGGATTATTGAGGATCTATTTTCATGCCAGTCTTAAGCACAATTTTACAACATGATCACCTCGGAATCATTTTATCTCTAAATACAGCAAAGACAAGATATCAAGTTAACAGTTTCATTAAATCCTATATCTGCAGCTATTACTCTATACATTCAATTTTTGCTTATTTTAACCTGCCATGTTCCTTTAAAAGCAAAGTAATTCCTTTTTCTTAATAGCAAACTTAAAATCCTGTTAAAAATGCTACAAACCAAACCTCACTCCATTTTAGACAGTTAACTGCTTCCTTATAAAAACATGAAAAAACAGTCTGTACATTTACATTAAAAATTCCAAGAATATCCACTGGAAAAAAATGAAAGTTATTTTCACACTAAACTAGCATAATTTTCCCCTTACACATACATATATGGAAAAGAAGACTATCTCATGTTAAAAAGTTTACATGAAACATAATAAGATGTCAAAAGGAAAAGCACCCTTTTCAAAGTCTAAGTCTGAAAATCTAGATTTGGCGGGGAGGCGATTAGAAAATGGGAAATGTGGCATCAAATAAAGATTGAGACCCACACTTAATTGAAGATGTCCTATCTCAGTGACCAGAGGGCTACATAAGGAAGAATGTATTCCCCATGAAGGCCAGGTTTGTTCCGCGCAGCCAGTTTGGGGCCATTCTGTAAATGCCTGAAGACTGCAGGCAGCACTTCCCTTGAGTCCATGCTCCAAATAAGGTGAGGGGTGGAGAAAGGGTTGGTGATAGTTCACCAAACTCAAATGGGAGCTGCCACTGGCCTGGGAAAAGAAGGAAAAGAGGGACCCTGGCCTAGGAAACTTTAAGTAGCAACTAATTTTGTCTTTACTACCACTCAGTGTCCCTTTATTGGCCTCTCCTTACCCTCGAAGGCCTGGGTTTTCATGTCACTGACTGTCCAAATACCCTACGTGGACTTGAACTCTAAGTTCCCTGTGTTCCCAAATGACCACTTGATCTTTTTCTTTCCTGTATTCAAATGTCTATTTCTTGTATTACTTAAAACATCCTTGTAAGAAAGCAAGCTCATAGATAGTAATTCATACTAAAGGGTGATTGACAGTTGGAGCATTTGCCACCTAAGTGTTATGGATCTCATTGGGTGAGAGATTACAGAAAGGGGATGGATGGGAGGCCTGGATTTCTTTGAAACACACCAATGTCAGTTTAAAACAGAGCAGTGAGGGGCACTTAGGTGGCTCAGTTGGTTAAGCGTCCAATTTTGGCTCATTCATGATCTCATGGTTTGTGGGTTCGAGCCCCGCGTTGGGCTCTCTGCTGACAGCTCAGAGACTGGAGCCTGCTTCAGATTCTGTCTCCCTCCCTCTCTGCCCCTCCCCTGCTCATGTTCTGTCTCAAAAATAAATACAGCATTTAAAAAATAATTTTAAAAAATGGCAGTGAGTGGGGAAGTGGCATTTTACAATCTCCAGGCTTGAATTAGAACACAGCAAAAAGGGATGGGTTTCAGGTCTTCAGTCTTAGGAAAGTCATGCCCCACTCAGTCCCTTCAGTAACATCTGCACCTCCATTCCAGCTCCCTTTACCCTCTAAATTCTGACCAACAGATCATGGTTTATTGGCTCTAAATTTTACAAATGTTGATTAATAGAAAAGGAAAATGGTGATAGAATCTTTTTTTTTAACCAGAATTAGGTTTTTAAAAGCATTCAGTATTGGCTCCAAGAAAAGCATTTCATCTCTGGAACCTTGCCAGCAGATCAGGGAGCCCTAGCTGGAATAGCCATTTGCCAGTTTGCCCTCGTGTGTGCAGCAGAGAGAAACTGTGAAGCAAGGCTACTGTTCTACCTAGTTCCCTCTTTCCTTCCCACTGACGCCAGAGAAGTTTAATTAGCTGCATACAATTAAAAAATTTTTTTACGTTTCTTTATTTTTGAGAGAGAGAGAGAGTGAAAACGAAAGAGAGATAGTATGGCAGAGGGACAGAGAGAGAGAGGCAGACAGAGAGAATCCCAAGCAGTCTCCATGCTGTCAGCCCAGAGCCTGATGAAGGGTTCAAATTCATCAACCGTGAAATCATGACCTGAGCCGAAATCAAGAGTTGGACACTTAACCAACTGGGCCACCCAGGCGCCCCTAGCTGTATACAATTTTAAAGAAATTATACAAATGTACATGAACTACTTCCTAATATGCTTAGTTGTGCAGCATTTAAAAACTAAGTATCATAAACTCTCCTTTTTTAGAACTCTAGATTTCTGGGGCGCCTGGGTGGCTCAGTTGGTTGAGTGTCTGACTTTGGCTCAGGTCAGGATCTCACAATCTCACAGTCCGTGGGTTCGAGCCCCACATTGGGCTCTGTGCTGACAGCTCAGAGCCTGGAGCCTGCTTCAAATTCTGTGTCTCCTTCTCTCTCTGCCCCTCCCCTGCTCGGTCTCTGTCTGTCTCTCAAAATAAAATAAAGACATTAAAAATTAAAAAAAAAAAAGAACTTTAGACTTCTATTGTCAGACACATTAAGCCTTATATCATCATCTTCCCATTTGGTTTTCATTTTATTTTAAATGTTGCAATATATTGACTCATTGACTAACATATATGTATGTATGTATGTATATATATATATATATATATATGTATGTATATATTTATGTGTGTACATGTGTGCATGTTTATCCTTATCCAAAAGTAGAACATTCCTGTGAAACCTTTCATAAGTTGAAATGACATAAAGCAAAGAAGCAATTACCATCATCTTTATGGAAAATTTTTTGAGTGTTCCCAGACCCAAAGTTTAACCTCTCTTAGGCTTTTCTGATTCCTTAGAACACATCTTACTAAATGATGTACCAAATAAATGGACATAAAGCAGAGATGCTCACAGACACAGTTCAAAGCGGAGGTGGCTTGATATTGAGATGCTGAGTGAAGTTCCCCGGGGAAGGAGCTTGGCGGGACCCCGTCTCTGCTCTAGGTACATGCTGCCTCTACAAGATTCATTCCAAGACAAACATGAAATGCTATTTTCCCTTTTTGCATATAAGCAAAATTCTTTTGCGGGTACTTTAGGTTTGCAAAAACAGGCAGTAACTTTCTCTTCGCACTTTCTCTTCGCGAAAGAGAAGTGGCGTAACATGAACTTTTGAAAAGCAGGGGATACCTCTCTCTCTCCATCTCTCTCCTATCTATCTATCTATCTATCTATCTACCCTCTTTCTATAGTCAGTAGTCCTGAATCTCAGGGGAAAACATTAAGACTTGTGATTACCATCTCAATAGAAGATCTTTGGTGGGTTTTTTGTTAAAATACTGACAATAACTCTCCATGTAGTGAACATAGTTCTTTTCCTTGAGAATAAGGAAACTTAAATATATTCCTTATAATAATCCTTTTGCAAACCATAACACACACATTCAAAAGCATAAAAACAACACAGTTTTTCAGTCTACACTTTCCTGATATAGTTTAATATTGTGGCTATGTATTTTTTAAGACCTTATTAGGCCAATCAAGTAGCTAGAACTGCCTTTCATGATCTAGTTGCTAACCAGAAGGAAAATGAAATTCTAGTAGTCTTTGGAGCTACCAACTCATGGAACAAAATTTTTAAAGAGCTACAAACTGCAGTACAATTTACCATAACGTTTGATATAATCCCATTACACTTAAATCTGGAACAAGAACAGAATCTCTAGCCCAGATAGCTGCTGTATATTCATTCAAGGATAGCTTAGTTATCATTGGACTAATATTAACTCAACACATTTACTGGAAAGCTATTTGTAAAGAATAGCAGGTCCTTTATAGACCTTAATTCCAATGTTACAGCATGCTTTTGCTAGCTGTCTATATACCTGGCAGTAAAGAAGGCAAAATATGTTTTAACATTTCAAACTTCTTGGAAACGATAAGCAACAAATTGCTATAAATCTACAAATCGGTAAATAGTACAATTCAAAATTTAGAAAAATTCATATATTTTTTCTAATATATATTAAAAACAAATATATATATATTAGAAATAGAAATTCTAATATCTAGCTATCTATATATTAGAAAGTGAAACTGAACTTTATAATATCCCTTTAGGAAAATTCCAGCATGTGTGGCAAAAACCCAGCTCCTTGTACCACATTAACATCATCTCTTTGTGCATGTTTCTGCTAATGTAGTAAATTTGGCTCCCAAATTATTTAAAAAGTCAAGCCCATCGTCTTCCTGTTTTTCGCTGCAGCACCCCACAGAACCAGTTGGGGAGCCCCTTCCTTCATAGTTATACGTAAGGACATAATCTGGAGACGGCATGTGGTCTTCATTCTGATTGCACAGATGCAATTTCTGTAAAATAAACAAAAAAAGGATTGTATTATTGTCTTTTTAAAAAAATATTTTTAAACATATAAACATAAAATGTATTTTTTATTTACCTTTTGTGTCTAATTTTTAACCAGTGTGTCCTCTAATGGAGTCCTATGTACAAAAAACGCACATGATTGGTCGATATCACAACCATACCATAAAGTCAGTATGTCTTACATTTCTAGTAGTCCATACAAATAAAAAAATGATATGTATATCATATCTACAGTTAAATTATCATTGAATGCTTAACTCTAAAGTTTCTATCTAGAGGTCAGGCTAGTCCACAAAATGGTGAGAGTATGCGTGGCGGCCTAGAATTTGACTTTGGATAACCATGGATATCCGAACAGTCTGGATTTCGAGTCACAGCTCTGGCTGCACCAACTACAAATGTGACTTTGAGCAGGTGGCTAAACATCTCTCAGTCTCACTTCTCACTCTCCTTACATCTAAAATGGGAATATACACAGTGACTCTCTCACAATAATGATGAAATAATAGTGAGTGAAAACTACTCTTATTTTGCCCAGCACATAGTAAATACTCAATAAACATGAACTAAAACCACTACTACATGCAGTTATAAAGTAGGCAAGAATTATCACATGGGTTTCAGAATCAAATTCTTAAGATGACCAAAACATAACAAAATAGAGAGATGCACAAGACATTATAGTGATTTAAAAATAATCAACATAACCCAAATTGTAAAACCCAGGCCTTTGGAATGGAGAGGCCACGCATGCAGCCACATCCACCCTCACAGTCTGTTACTGGCCTGTCTGCCAGCTTGTCTAACTCCCGTGGCTCTTCCTCCTCACCTGGGTGCCCACTGCCTCTCTAACTCACGACCGTTTCAGCCTCACATCCCATTATGTGATGTGCACATTAAAGAACACCTCTCTCTCTGCCCCTCCCATTCTTAAGCTCCATTCTTTCCCAACCTGATCGCACATGAATACTGACTGTCTAGAAACAGAAAAGAGATTAACATTTGAATTTGATGGGAAAAAATATGCTATGGACGCGGTAAGCTATAGCTGTGCCACAGAACGCTGCCTATTTGTAGTCCATTAAGGGCTTCTGGCACACTGTTACAATGGCACTGGTACACTCTGACAAAAAGAAAACTTAGTACCAGAAAGAGTATTCAATCCAGTGGTTCTCTACCCACGTGACACATGTGAATCGCCTGAGGAGTTTTAAAAATAATAATAGTAGGGCTGCCTGGGTGGCTCAGTCAGTTAGGTGTCTGACTTGCGCTCAGGTCATGATCTCCCCGTCCGTGAGCTGCAGCCCCACGTCAGGCTCTGTGCTTGGAACCTGCTTCAAATTCTGTGTCTCCCTCTCTCTGCCCCTCCTCTGCCCTCTCTCTCTCTCTCAAAAATAAATAAAAATATAAAATAATAATAATAATAACAATAATAATAATAAAAAGCCAAACCAATTAAATCCAAAACCTTCAAGGTGGAGCACAGGCATTAATAAGCTCCAGGGGGATTTTGATGTGCTGCCAGGCCTGAAAACCCATGATTTAATCCCTCCTTTCTTTTACATCCTTGCTATCCTCTGAATAAAAACGGTTTATATATGAACGGTGCTTTTTATTAAATCTAGTTGATATAGCTCATATTATTTAATGTTCATCCTAGAATTGTGCGCAGATGCTTTGTTTTCAGAGAGAGATGCAGATTCGTTCGGGGGAGTTTTGTGATTGTAGGGAATAAGATTTTTTTTTCACATTCTTCTGTATTAAAATAGTTCATGAGGTGAACAACATCTAAAAGTGGCATGTGACTTTAGTGTGGATATTAGAAACTTCCAATTCTCATGAGATTTTAGAAATTAAAAGAAATATGACAGATGGAGTAAAATCTCTTTTATGTTAAATAATGTAACAAAATCAAAGGGCATGGGAAGGGGCAGTGCTGGGAATGACCAGGGAGTGAAAGAGAAAAGATACATAGGTAAAAGCAACTTCTGAAGCCCTATGTTAATTTCAATTTCCTTTGTTCAACACTTGGATATTTAAATTGTAGAGTCAAAACACTGAGGGAAACTCACTTCACCAAGGCGGGGCTGGGTGAAATTATGCCACTCGGAGTAGGAATATCTGCAGTTGTCCATCTCCACGTGTCCTCCCCTGCAGGAATCCAGGGTGTGATGGTGCCCGGAGCCCTGGCACGATTCTAGGGTCTGGTGTCCGCCTTTCACCATTTCAATGGTCTCCCGCCCTCCATTTTTCACTCCGGATCTCATGGTGCCACAAAAGCCTTGGCCAGAGTTATTGACTGTCTGGGTCATAAAGCCATTGGTAGAACACTGAAATAAAATAAGACGATTTGTATCAGGAAGAAATGGGTCCTAAGTCATAAGAAGGAAAGGGAGAGAGAATTTTATTCAACCTTTTATTGATTCATCCATTCATTAAGAGACATTTGTATTTTCTAATTATGTGCTCAGTCTAGGATACAAGGATGTGCATGATCCCTCAGTGGCTCCAAAAAGCTCTTATTCCAGGGAGGCAGAAAATTGGATGATTCCTTTAGGAATATATACGTAGGGGAATGCAGAACGCTATAGGAACACAGAGGAAGTGTATTAAAAGAAGAAACCACCAGCTGCAGGAAGGTCTATAGGCAAAGGCAACAGAGTGCTTTGGGGGTGTTCAGCTTCAGCCTGTTGAGAATGGCTGCCACATAGGGTTCAGGGTAAGAGAGGAAGTGGAGAGGTTATAAAAGGCCAGAGAAAATAAAGGTCCATATGCCATGCTAAAAAATATAGACTATCATTAAGATTATAGAGACTCAAAGAAGGTTTTTTTTTTTAATTTTTAATGTTTGATTTATTTCAGAGAGAGAGAGAGAGAGAGAAACAGAGTGAGAAGGAGAGGGTCAGAGAGAAAGGGAGACAGAATCCAAAACAGGCTTCAGGCTCTGAGCTAGCTGTCAGCACAGAGCCCAACGCGGGAATCAAACCCATGAACCATGAGATCATGACCTGAGCTCACATCGGACACTTAATGGACTGAGCCACCCAGGCACCCCAAATAAGGGTTTTAATAACAGGTAAGGCACATATTTTTAAAAATCACTCTAGACAATAATATAAAAGACAAGAAGACAACAAGTTGAGTGTCATGGATATCAGAGAGGTCAGTGAACCATTCTAGGTGAAACATGATAAGGATCTAAGCCAAAGAAGAAGCAATGATGGCTCAAAGTGGCTCTGCTATGCAACTATAGATGGTATAATTCCCTGAAGCAGGGGTGAAAGATGTGCTTGTGGGTAAGAAGAGGGGGAACAATTCAATTTGGAGCATGGTAAGTTTAAGAAACCTTTGGATGTCCACAATGCGTATATGAATATGGGGGTCTGGAGCTCAGGTTGGGGAGCTGAGGTGGCGCTACAATTCCAGAAGTCACCACCATATAGATGCTAGTTGAAGCCACAGGGATAAATTATAACACCCAGGAAAAATGGCAGACTAAACAAAAAGAAGGCTAATAACAGGGTCACCTGGGTGGCTCAGTCAGTTAAGCAACATGACTTCGGCTCAGGTCATGATCTCACAGTGAGTTTGAGCCCTATATCAGGCTCTGTGCTGACAGCTCAGAGCCTAGAGCCTGCTCAGATTGTGTGTCTCCCTCTCTCTCTGACTCTCCCCTGCTCATGCTCTGTTTCTCTCTATACCAAAAATAAATTAAATAAATAAATAAATAAGTAAATAAATAAATAAGAAGGCTAATAACAGAACCACAAGAAAAAATGTTTTAAGGGGTGGGTAAAGGAATTAGAAGATCTGAAATAGCAGAGAGAATGGAGGAATCCAAAAGACAAACTCTGAAACCACGCAGAGAGGATCATGGTCAGGCAAAAACATCAAAGTAGTTTAAGAACTGTTCTAAGTAAAATAATCACCTCTTAGATTCAAGTAAAAGAATGGCCACTGATGATCTGTGTCAAAAGAATTTCCATGAAGTGCTGAATGAACAGGAAGTAATGTCATGGAGAAATCCAGTATAAATCTCTCAGAAAGTTCAGTTTCAAAGAAGAGATAAGGAGGGAACTAGAGCAAACAGAGTTGAGGGGATGTTTGAAGATGAAAAGGACTTGATTCACCAGTAACTTAATGCTGGAGGCTCATATGGAAGTCTGGGCCATGGGTAAGAAGTTGAGTTATAGCAGCAACCTCAGCGTGTCAGTTCTAATTATAACCCATTACTTTCAGACAAGACCTCCATTAAAATCAGACTCCATTGTACCACCTTCTTGCCAATCTGTTTCTCTTCTGTTGAATATGCAGAGTCTCTAAACTGGAAGACTTTCAAGTTCAGATGATTTGGAGTTTCAGATATTTCAGAGTCTGAAATGTATCTATAAATGTCATGCATAGTATCTCATTGCCTTAGAAAATTATACCAGAAAAGAGAACTAAAAAGTAGCCATTTGGTGGCACTGCTACCCTACATTTTTTGCTTAGGTTGCTGCTACCTTGAAATTGTATTTTAAAAAAATTCTGATTATCAAATCTCCTTGATGGTATAATTTTTGTCATTATAAATATGTGTTCAGAGATCACGCAAGCTAATACCAGGAGACCTGAAAATAAACTAAAACCAGTGCTGAGTCCACAGTGCTATGTTTCACATTCTCTCTCTTCTCTGTTCCTTCCTGACCATCTCCATGTGCCCTGCCCAAAGCTTTTTCTCACATGGTATCAACAACTCCTTTTCCATGTCAATGATTTCTGTTAGCTTTTACAGTCCTGACTCTTCAACCAGCTCCTAACCCCATCTGAAATGCCTCTGACTTAAACTTAGCTCTAAAACTAAAGTCATCATCTTTACTTGTACTAAAATGAGCTTATACACTCACTACAAAGTTTTGCTACATTTTGTAAAAATGTGTCTGAAATTATGTTCTGGTATAAATGAATGATTCTGGGTCCTTTTGAGAAGTGCTCCTAACAGAGAACAGGTAAATAGGTTTCAGTATGTTATGGTGAAGCGGCCAATTAATGCCATCAGCTCTAGCATCAAATGGCAAAAACCAAACATGAAGAACATCTCAATCATTCCATTTTCAGACATAAAATAAGATCTTACTATGAGCCAAGGACTTTCAAGGGACTGAATGTATTTTCTGAATGGAGAAATAATTACAGGGCTCCACATGGAGGCATGTCAAGCACAGGTGGGCTATGATTTTGCATGATGGTGGGAGAAGGTTAAAGAGAGAAAGTCAATAAGAAAGGCACCTTTGATATATCAAAGGCTTGATATGAAGTCACTGTCCCTGGCTATGGCCTCTGTCACTTTGGATTCACTTTTTATTCTGTTACTCAAAAGTTAAGAATCCATCATTTATGTATTTAAAATATCGATTATTCCTATTTTAATTTTCCACTTTCTATTATCCTACCAGAGTTATCTCCTGCTTAAACTATCAGAAGATTCTAATCCTTTTTCTTCCCCTCGTTAATGTCTTCCTGTTCTCACTGATCACTCCACTGACTCAGCACCAAGCTGTTCCCGCTGTGCCGCATCTGTGCAGGAAAACCTTCACTGGCTCTTCCTTTCCAAGAGAACAAGCCCCAAATCCTACTCCTCTCTTACATCCTGTCCCCCAAAACTGTAACTTACATCTCAAGCTTCTATTCCAAAATACCATTTGTTCCATTTCAAAACAACTTCCTTACTATTTGTTGAATAATCCCTAAACTTTGTCATCCCCCTTTTCATTCTGTTTTTAAATTTTTTAACATTTATTTATTTTGAGAGAGAGAGATAGAGAGAGAGTGACTGAGGAAAGGGTAGAAAGAGGGGGAGACAGAGAATTTCAAGCAAGTTCTGGACGCTATACAGAGCCCAATGCGGAGCTCGAGCTCATTTACTGCAAGATCGTGACTTAAGTCAAAATCAAGATTTGGACGCCCAACTGACTGAACCACCCCAGTGCCTCTCCTTTTCTATTCTTAAGGCTGTTTTCTTCCTCATTAACTATTCCCACAATCTCTCCACTTTCAAACGCTTCTTATTCTTTAAGTTACAGAGTCATCTGCACCTCTTTCACTAGGACCCTCAGGTTGACCCAGACAACACAAATGCACTTACGTATTAAAAGTATCTTTGAACTACAACAGTGCTTGGTCAGAGTGGAGCTAATGGTTTACTGGAATGTTCCTACTTATTTTTCCCATAAAAGTAGATTCAACTACTTATAATTACATTGAGATCTTTTTGAGGGAAAACTATGCCTCGTAAGAACTCTTTAAATATACATCCCCCCAAACAAGAAACCTAGTACCAAGCACCTCAGCAGCCCCAAGAAATACACAAGGAAAGAGAGTGGCAATAATTTTCCAAGTAATCTACCCTCCCCATATAAAAAAAATATCCTCTTTGGTATTTTCTTAATTAATCTTGAGAACTTTTAGTAAGTTTTTTTTTTCCCTATTATAAATGGTCAAAGAGTTAGATAAACAAATGATATCTGGGAATGAACATTGTAGAGACACCCTAAAAGACTCCTATTATAATAAATCCACATCAGAAAGTAAGTTTTGAATCATAACATTAGAGAGTGGAAAACTGATAATTAAAATAACACATGTTTTAAGAAGTCTAATAAATGCCACTACATAAATATCTGAATATCGGCAGATAAAATACTTAAGCCTACAAAATCTGACCAAATTAAAAATATAACTTCACTACTAAGTTTCAAAATAACTTCATGAGAATCAGTAAAAAAAATTATGGGAGATATTCAGAGATACTCATTTAAAAAACCTACTTACCACCTTATCATCCCCAGGTGCTTCTGTGTTTGATATGATTAAGTTTTGCTGTGCTAAATCTTCAGGAAAACCTTTTCTTTTTTTGGCACCAACAACTCCACATACCAAAGTTAGCAATACAGCTACATTAAAAAAAAAAAAAAAGTTTAACATACATAGAATAAAATACTAATCTTTCACTTTTTTATTACTGCAGGTGGACTGGAGGAAAACAGAGCCACTAAGCATGGTCCCGTGATACCTTGGCCTTTCTAAATGAATAGGCCATGATTTAGCTTGGATTTTAAAATGTGAATTCATTATATGTACATATATATATGTATATTTAAGTTTATTTCTTTTGAGACACACAGAGACAGCACAAGTGAGAAGGGGGGAAAGAGAGAGGCAGAGAGAAAGAAAGAGAGAGAGATCCCAACTAGGCCCCAATGCGAGGCTCAAACTCATGAAATCGTGATATTGTGACCTGAGCCTAAACCAAGTGTCAGATAATTGACTGAGCCACCCAGAAGCCCCATTAAGTTCTTGTATATTTTGATAATAGCTCTTTTTAAGAGTTTGAATTCTATCTATCATGCATGTTAAACTATTCACAATCGAGGATCAAATAGTAAATTTTCAAAAAACTTAATGACATGTATTTAAGACAAAGACTTTAAAAGATTTATTCATTCCCAAAAGGATGGCTTGCCTATATGAAAAACATGACAGACTTTTTCCTAGAATATCTTATCTCCAAATATCTTAATTAAAACTACTCCGTATTTTTATGGAGTAACATTCTATTCAGAATTTTCATTCTACATCATACCTGTGGGAGGTTGAAATGTGTGACAATAAAATTAACAGTAATAATAATAACAGTTAATAATAACAATTCCTTACAATGTTCTACAAGTCCCTCTACCAAGGATGGACAAACTCTCATCTTATCTCCAAGTATTTTAATTAAAACTACTCTGTATTTGGTCTACTCAGAATTCTCATTCTGAAATATGTGATAATAAAATTAACAGTAATCATAATAACAGGTCCTTACAATGTTCTACAAGCCCTTCTACCAAGAATGGCCAAACTGCACCCCCAAATCCCTTCCAGTGAATTTTTTGTATGACCACCTGTTTTTGTATTGTCCATGAACTATGGTTTTTACATTTTTAAATGGTTTTTAAAAATCAAAAGAATAATAGTTCAATACACATGAAGATTATCTGAAAGTTAAATTTTAGCATCCATAAATAACGTTCTTTTGGAACCCAGCCATGCATATCATTTAAATATGTTCTAAGGCTCCTTTCCTACTAGAAGGGTAGATTTCCCTGGTAATAAGTGAAACCATATGGCCTGCAAAATGTAAAACATATACTATCTAGCCCTTTACAGAAAAAGGGCACCAATCTCTGCCTACATCATGTGGACCCTTATTAAAGTTTCTGGTTCCATGTCCTACCCCGCTCTCTTAATCCACTCCACTCCAGCCACACCAGTGTCCCGGTCATGCCTTGACTTCTCCAGACACCCTCTCACCTAAGGACCTTTGTGCTGAGCTCTGACTGAAAAACCTTTCTCCCAAGTACTGTACTTAGCTGACTCTTTAACCTTTTCCCTAAATCACTGAAGAACACCTTGTGAGGGCTGCCACACCATCCACTGAAAACCGGAGTCACTAGCACTAACACCCCGCCCCCCCCGACACCCACACACGCTCCACAGCACTACGACTCCTTATTATTTGCTCTATTTTTCTTCTACAGTATTTCACTTATTTATTAGTTTACTGTCACAAGGTACACTGTTCGCGTTCAGTTTTGTCTGTTTTGTTCACTGATGACTCCCAAGCACCTAGACAGTTTCTGGAATATAGTAGGTGTTTGATGTCTTTTTATTTTGTTGAGTTGTTGGAAAATAATAAGCACTGTACTGTTTGAAGCTTTTCACATGGGTTAACCCAATTAACACTCTGTGCTGCCCCGTAAAGGAGGCTACTACTACAATTACCCCCTTTCACAGGTGAGGGAACTAAAGCACAGTTAAGACTGGCCTCAGGTCTCATGACTTGCAAATGATAGAGCTGGGTTACAAACCCTGATAGTTTGGTGCCGGAGTCTGGCTCTTAACCACTAGTCCTATCACAGACCAAAGGAACAACAGCTAATCTAGGCTGGAAGGTGGGATGGAAATAAAAAGAGGACAAAATACGGTGGCAATGGGAATGACACACTGGTAAGGAAGGGGTTAAAAAAAATCAACACCGGCAAGATACACCCAAGAAGAGATATTGCTGTAATGCGAGTAATTGCCCCAAGTCCGTGGCTGAATGATGACACAAAAATCACAGTGGCTTACAGTGGACTTTCATATGGCGGAAGTTTTAGATTGTTGATTTAGCCCTAAAAGGGGTAGAACCAGGACCAAGAAATGGAAACTATATGTTGCCAGATTTGGAACAATCTAAGGAATTCTAAGCAGCCCTGTCCAAATGTGAAGTTTTGTATCACAAAAGGGATCTTGTTCCTTCTCCCCAAAAATATTCCATCAGAAATCAGATAATAACATGAAAGCAGTTTGTAAAGAGGACTCACTCCAGCTGGATGGTTGGACGAGATTACTTTTTAAAGACCTTTTTCTGCACTCAGACATTTGTGATATATTTTAACTTTAAGTCAGTAAAAGGACTTACAAAACAGTAAAGCTATGCCCAGCAGTATGGCCAAGATCGCCCATTTTCCGAGTCTGACTCCTGCACTCCTTCGGGTCGCCAGACACTGACTCGGGTGAGTGCAATCACACAGATTAATTCTCAAGGTCTTTGTTGCAGATTGACCTTCCCTATCTTTTACAGTAATAGGAACACTGTATTCCTGAAACTCAGCATTTTTCTGATATGAAAGACGGGCAGCTGTATCTGAAAGAAAATGAAAGAATTATATTTTTAATGGACATTTACTTCTCCCTTCGCATTGGTTTCATCACACTTGTTTCTAAACATGTTATTCTCAAGGAACCACATGTCACATGAAAATGAATAAAAATGGACAGCTATCTCCTATTATTCTATCTTCTATTCTATTATTAGTGCTGCCTTTTCAGCACTAATATTACCATGTATGTGTTGTCCACTGTAATTTTCTACAAGAGAGGTGTAAAGAATTAACTTGGCATTGGAGTGACCCAGTAGCATTTCTGCAGTATATAATGTTATGTACCTATTTCCTTATTTACAAACCAATGATGCTAGATTGGTCCTTGACATACACTTCAAGCATTTTTCTACAGTACCAGTTTATGGTACTTATAAAGAATTAACAACAATTGTTACACACAAAGCATGTCCTTATTCGCTATTCTCTTACCCATTTATTTTCTGGTACTTGTCCATTATCTTTACATATAAAGTAATTTTTCAAAGTACAACAAACCCTTTGTTATTTTGCCTTCCCTCTAGAAGTAATCTCAATACCTCAAAGCTAGTTAATGCCACTTAGGCAGCTATAAAGCTTACAAAAAAAACAGATGTATCTGTGTCATAACAATACATTTTTATCAACTATGATATTTCCCCAATAGTCTTGATTACCTACTGCAATGACTTTATAATGAACTGACCAAAAGCTCCATGCATTTTCAACGTCAATCACAACCTTCTGAGTTTTACAATAAGTGAAATGATGAAGTAGCACCATGCACATTCTGGAAGTCATCTGCAATGCACTATTACAGCTGTTAAGAACTTCAAAGATTTCTGGCTGTACCTCAAATGCAGAGCTCCCCAGAGGAACGTGAATTACTGCTAAGGTTTAGGTGGAACCCTCCCAGGTTCTACTGTGGCTAAGGTAAAATCCTCCAAATCCTCTCCTCCCTCAAGACCACAAGCTGCACCATAGTCACCTCTGCTGTCCTTGTCACTCAATCCTGCCCTCTTCAAACTGTACTGTCACCAATGTCACCTTGTTAAGACATAAATCTGGGCACAGGATTCCTTACTGGCACACTCCCAGTGCATTCCTGCTGTCACTGACTGTACCAAAGTCGGTCTCCTCAGCCTACTACATAAGGCCCTTCACCACCAGAATCCATCAGCCCTCCCACCCAGTCTCAGGGCTTTCCTGCTAAAACCTAAACTCTAACACTGATTTACTTATTCCCCTAGCATTTTCCTTCCTTGTGCATATTTATTCACCAATGATTTATTAAGCAAACACTTATTAAGCAGTTAGTATCTACAAGACACTGAGCTAGGTGCTGGGAATATACAAATGAACCACAAATATCCTGAGAAACTCACGAATTGGAGGAGAAAGGGAAACAGGTAATAACACAACATGAGAGGAGCTATAATAAAGGTAGAAAAGGTCATGGTGCTACTCCTACTTCAAGAAAGACTTCATAGATGTGAGCATCTGAACTGCAGTCATATCTGTCTTATTAATTTCTACATATATTGCCAGGGTCAGACCAGTGCATGGTAGACGATAGGTGCTCCATAAGTATCTCGTGAATTAATATCAAGCTATGAAATGGGAAGGGCAGTGTTCTAGGCAGAAGGCACAGCATACACAAAGGTCTAGTTGCATGGAAGAGCATGTATAGTAAGAAAACAGCAGTGAATGGTGACTGAAATATAGAACTACACCCCCCCAGAAACCACTATCATAGGAGGCTGTCCTGACACTTCCAATCCAACATCTCCATCCACAGCCCACCATGCTTCCTTCCAGAATACCAGAGACTTCTTGCCTCATATACCCACATTCCTCATTTCCAGAGTTTGCTTTCAATAAAATTTAAACTCTCCATCTCCGTTCTCTCTTCACCTCCCTGGAGTCACTTTAAAAACACATCAGAAACAATTCATCTTCATGATAAGCTGCCCAATATTTTTAGCAAATCTTTTTTTCTCTTTGTTGTAAATGTAAATTTTGCCTTCATAAAAATGATGATTTCATTTTATATACAATATATAACAGACCCCATCATAATATTTGTAAAAAGCTGAATTCATCTTCAAAAATACGTTAATGAGGACATTATAGTAAACAAGGAAATCCACCCTCAGTTATTTTAGAGCATATAAATCATTACTTTTTGTTAGATACCATTAACTTTGGTGAGGGTCCACATTCTGTTCGTTTCTGGAGAAGTGTTTGCCAAGCTGAAATAAAATGGAGCGCCGTGGATAGGTTCATCAGGATCGACAGCTGAAATGTCAGTATATCTCATCTTTGGTTTGCAAATTGTTAGATAACTTTGAAGTATTTCTGGGGGGTTATCATTTATATCTTCAATGTTAACCACAAGTGTTCCAGTACATGATCTACCATCTAGGAAGAAAGAAAAAAGGTTTAGTGTAGTTTTATGTGTTCTTTTACAGTTTCTGAATGAAACAAATTAACTACATTCTATATGTGATATATGTTTTCTCAAATAAGCTGATATTAGAGAAAATGGTAAGTAAGAATGTAGAAGAATAAGTGAAACCTGTAGATCATCTGAGAGGAGTACCGCAATTGATAATATCAGATACAACTGCCAATAAACTTTTCGCCAGGATCACTAACAAACAAGAACAATCAATGTGTGAACTCTGTATTCTTGGGGATTCCCTCTGGTGCAGATGTTAACAAGCAGCAGAAAGGCTACAAAAAGTTATTCTAATCTTGATACACATTCAAGCCACTTAGCAAGATTTTGAAAATATATGATGCTTGGGTTCCCCAAATATTCTGATTCACTTCATCTAAGTCATGTCTACAAAAATGATGTTTTAAGTCCCCCAAGTTATTGTATTATGAAGCCAGGGTTAAGAAACTGAGTTGTTTTAAGCAACAGAAGTCAAGGAAAGGGTCGCTCTGACCTAATAATCAGCTGAGTTACTCAAAGATTCGATTTAAAGTGGCATAAAGAGATCTAGAAGATTCTGGTGAGATCATTTCATCTGATTCTAGACTTACATTTCCTCTTTGCCCTCCAACATAGAGATCTACAAACATTTGAGGTCTCACCAAGCTGAGGATATAAAGATAAATAAGACATGGCTTCTTGTTGCCCTGAAGGTTCACCATGTTAAATGATTAAGAGAAATAGGAACAGACTTCAAAGTAATGTCTTGACAATTCAAAAATACTTATCACAAAAATTCTGCACAATAGAATTTCAGTTTATTGTCCAAGATACCATAATAAGATATCATATTAAAAATTTTTAACCCCCCCCCTTTTTTTTACCTTGGTCTATTGCCAGGACTGTAATATTATATAAGTCATTTCTGGGAGTCATGGCCTCCCGGTCCAGGATTTTGGAAGTTGTGATTGACCCTGACATCTCATTAATAGTGATCCATCCTTGAGGATCATGCAATTTTTTGTACCTATTAATATAAAATAAAAAGTCTTCACCAATATAGAACGTATTAAAACAAGTTACAGTCTCAATTATTACAAATACATTATTGGTATATGGTTACAGACTTCTTTATACCTTAAGCCGCTGGTACTTCTCGTTTCAGGGTCATATGCCTTATAACCATTGATCTTTGACCCCACTGCTGAGTTTTCTTGAATCCGCACATACTGGGCTGCCGGGCTACATTCAGGCCCTTCGTCCTGATCCCTCACGTGAACTGTGACCACGGCTCTGTTCATGGCTGTTGTTCTGAATGTAAAATCTCGAGAAAACGGAGCTTCATTGCTTGCTCCAATTTCCAGGATCACTTGTTGGTTTTCTTCATAATTCAGCGGCTTTTTAAAAAAGCACATGGATATCAGCATCAGTGTAAAATACATGGGTATTTCAAGTAACATGTGAGCCTCTGTAAACACGAACAGTGGTGCCTAATTTCTATGTTCCCATTCAATCAATATGGACTTTACCCTTTTCTAAAGAGAGAGGTGATTCTTCACTACACCTTTAGCAAGTGTGGCCCAAAAGTTTTATGGAGTTGTGGAAAAACAATTCCTGTTATACTTTTATAGTTCATTCTTACTAAGGAAAATTATTCTGAACCTGAGACAATGCAAAGAGATGACAGTGTTTTTATGACCCTGCTTTAGAGTGCTAACAGACCAGCCTAAAGGGCATCTAACTCCAGGAGAACGCAATTTTTTTTTTTTATGTTTTATTTATTTCTAGGAGAGAGAGAGACAGTATGAGCAGGGGAGGGTCAGAGAGAGAGGGAGTGACAGACTCTGAAACAGGCTCCAGGCTCTGAGCTGGCAGTCAGCACAGAGCCCGACGCGGGGCTCGAACCCACGAACCACGAGATCATGACCTGAGCGAAAGTCGGACGCTTAACCGACTAAGCCACCCGGGCGCCCCAGGAGAACGCAATTTTGCTTGACTTACTACTTCCTATTAACTATGTCCGTTTCCTTAACCCCCACACTGTAATCCCTCTGCTACATTGTGCTGCTTAGTTGGTTCACCAGCCTCTAAAAATATTTAAGTGAAACCTTTGATTATAATTGATATTTAGACAGCAAATCAAGCAAAATGCATAAAACCCTATTTTACATTGTACTGCAAATTTGAAGTATTTTTTCTTTGATTCTCTTTCTGCTTATCAAAACCATCACTGGCTGACCACTGAACAAAATAGAAATTGATGAGTAACATTTTTATTTTAAACCTTTCCCCATACCTAGCCATTATCAAGCTGAGATACTAACAGCAGGAGTCCACCAAGAAGTCAAGAAAATGTCTGAATCTTAGAATCCACAAAATATGTGTGAAACTCTTTTTTCATTTTTAGGAAATGGAGAGTCAAGAGGAAGAATTAATATGTTTATCTATTGCCAATGAACACTCTCTCACAAATTACACGTACACTCTCTCAGAAATCACATGTGTTGATATGATCATGCAGAGAATGAAAGCGTTCGTTGGCGATGAGGCATGGATGGAGTCAGCAAACAGCTGCCGCTCTGGGGGAGGTGCAGTTATTTGATCAGGGCCACTTGCTAAAGCCTTAGAAGTTCTCTATGTAATTTTTCAAGGTTTGCACTGAATATTAGTTTAGAGGCTTAAAACTGAAGATTGGAAATCTAGTAGGATGAAATCAGCGATTAATGAAAAAACAGGAATTCTCTTCCACTACATAGTAGCTTTAATGTTTCATCAATTTATTTTATTTTTTTTAATATTTATTTATTCTGGAGGGGGTGTGAGTGGAGGAAAGGCCGAGAGAAGAGGACAGAGGATCCAAAGTGGGCTCTGCACTGACAGGCTGGCAGCAGTAAGCCTGATGTGGGGCTCAAACTCACAAACTGTGAGATCATGACCTGAGCTAAATGAAGTTGGACACTGAGTCACCCAGGTAACCCTGTTTCATTAATTTAAAAAAATGTTCAAAAATATCCTATATCTGCACTGAGATGCTAATAATTCCCTAGAAGATGAAGTGTTGTTTTATGGCAGACTCTCAGTGTTGAGAATGACCAAGTACAGAATCTTCTTCATCAAACCCATGTGCAACTGCTGCTGCTCAAATAGAAAGGAAATGCTGAGATGGAAAGATTACCAGGATTGAGCTGAAGACTGCATCAGATCATGGGCTACAGTTCCAGAAAAGTTCTCCAATATGGAAAATTAACAACATGAGACCCAAGAACATGTAAGACTTCTAAAAATAGAATAACAATATCCTCTAGTTTACCACATGTTTTCATTTTCATTATTATAATTGAATAGCTACTAGGGAGGCAGAGAGAAGTATTATTTATATTTTATAGATAACACAGAGGCTAATTTTCAAGATCGTATGCAAAGCAATTGAACATGGTGCTTAAGGGCATGTACTTGATACCAAAGAGACCTACACTCAAATCCTGTCCTACTGCATCCTAGCTGTGTCACTTTGTGTTAAGTTTCTTAAACTCTGGTACTAAGTTTTGTCCTCTGTGCAACTCTTGTAAAAATAACATTGAACATTGTAAGCCCACAGCGAGTGCTTTACACCCTAGGTTTCAGTTAGTCTCTGAGGCTGTCACACAGCCAATCGAAAAGAAAAAGGTGATGTATTTTTTGTTAACAACCAAATATAATACAATAATAGGAGACACCAACTAACAAGACATTTGGAAGCTTTGTTCAGATAAAAGACATATATTTGAGCAATCTTTGGCTTGACTTACCGATTATTTCTTTTTGGTATAGAGGAATGAATAAAGTTTATTCCTATCCATTATTAAGTACATAGCCTATGTGAAAGAAAGATGGTCTTCAAAATACCTTGGTTATACAGTGTTTGATTTTAAAATGGAAGATACCTCGTCAACGTTAGAAAGTATTTAAATATTTAACTTAATTATATGAACACAAATCTTTAGCAAGGTAAAGGATAAGGTACTTCTAAACTTTTAAAATATTTATTTACTTATTTTGAGAAAGAAAGAAAACAAGTGGTGGAGGTGCAGAGAGAAAGGGAGAGAGAGAATCCCAAGCAGGGTCCGTGACAGCAGTGCAGAGCCTGCAGATCTCACAGACCAAGAGATCATGACCTGAGCCAATGTCAAGAGTTGAACACTTAACCGACTGAGCACCCAGGCTCCCCCAGCGTACAATACTTTTAAAGACCACTGTGGTTACCAAAGGAGCTCTGTAATGAATTCAAATTTTCTAAGGGTTTGCATAGAATATAGAAAGGAAGATAAATAATGGAAAATGAAAATTTTATTGACCAAAATGTTAGAGAATATGATGAATGGCTTAAAGAAAGAGAGAAGGCAAAGCTACCAAAGGAGCTAATAATGACAGAGGAAGGAGATAATTCAAAGAGTAAACTCAGAGAAGTGGAAATGCTTTGAAGATCTAAAATGAGAAGACCTCCTTGTGCAACTGAAGTCATGATTTTATCAAGCCATGTAACCCAAGGGTGGAAAAGAGGAGAGGATAAGGGGAACATGACCCAAGGGTACCCCACAGGAAGAACAGCACAGTAGTTCTGATGAAGGGTTCTGTAGCAGGAGTGTCTGAGTTTGAATCCTGGCTCTATCACCTTCTATCTCTATGAACAGGGGCAAGTGACTTCACTTCTTTTGACTTAGCTTCTTCATCTGGAAATGGGAAGAATGATAGGAACAACTACAGGGTTGTTATGAAGGTTAAAAATAATTTTTTGGAATCCTGTATTTTTGGAGTTTTTTTACTTTATAATTTCAAAACACGGGGAAAGAAGCAAAATAAATTATTTTTATAAAGCAAGCCTAATATTGATATGGAAACAGAAATTGTGAAAAAAAGAAAACTATAGGTATCTTTTTTTTATTATAAAATGGGGATAATAATAATATTGTATCCTAAAGGGGATATGACAACTAGTTATAACCTACATAAGATGCTTAGTATCATTCCCTTGCAGTGCTTGGTGACTACTTTTAAAATTCTAAAAGAATTTCCTAGATATAAGAGCTAGGATATAATTATAAGTACAATTATCTTATGTTTAAAAGTAATGGGATTAAATGTATATAAATTTTATTGTAGGGGGCGGGGCATGGATTTTCTATATTCTTCGAATTAACTTAAACTGAACCAGGGACAAAAAAGTAAAGTATCACCATCTAATTGCTCTCCCTCCTGAGGAATTCTGGGATGGTACCCAGAAGCTGTTCACCAGAAATAAAATGTTTCACCAGATACTTATTAGTCACATGGAGTAAGAAATATTCTAAGATATAGGCTGTTATTTCTGAAAATATTTGGAAACATTTTTCTTAATGGCTCTGTGATAAACACTTCTTGAGGGGAAAAAATCCACTCTATGAAAAAAATGGAATGTGTTGACGTACTATGATTTTTTTTTAAAGTTTACTAAAATTCATTTTGTATTGGTCAAAAAAACTCAATAAAAATTTAATTCCTAGAATTACTTAAATTTTGCCTCTCAAACCAAGATAAATATTGAGTTTTTTTTTTTAAATAATGGGTCTTTAATAATGGCCTTGAAGGAGAGAGAAATGAGGAGTAGCCTTCTAATGAAGCAGTAGTACAGAGCACTCCAGAAGATCTGAGGATGGGTCTTTGACTTGAGCTACTGCAGTTGGCATAATCTACCTATCTCGGATCTCAAACTATTCCTTTGACTCATTTCTAGAAAGGAGTCAAGGCAGGGGTGAGGGGTGTGCAGAGGAAGGTGTCCAGGAGAAATCTTTTACAAAACATCTGTTGCCAATCACATCAATTTTGAGGCAAATTGTTTATCCAGCTTTGGAAACTGATGCATAGCAGCTGTTTTCAACAGAATTACACACCACAGACCCTCAGACGACCTGGATCAGCTGCAGCTCTGGTGAACACCTCCCTCATTTACACTGATAGATTCACATCTCAAGCACACCAAGATTCAGCTCTTCAGATTCAAAGTTTGCTCCAAACCCAGGGACCTCTCTTGAGCAGGCACAGCCACGCCCAGAAGTGCCGGAGAGCTGAGATTCCCTGGAGGCAACCTTCAACCAGTGATGCATGGGTATCAACAATGGGAGCTGATGGACAAATGCCCCGGGTACCAGTTTTTGAGAAGATAATTCTGAAGTACATTCTACATGGTTCATTGCATGATTGAACACCAGAGGTGACTAAGTCAATAATACAGACTTGATTGGCTTTTTGTTCTTTCTGGTCTTAATTTTCCATTTTTACTCTGACTTTCTAGGATCTCCTTCCTAAATATTTTCCTTCACTGAGGTCCTTGCCTTGTGTTCTGCTTTCTGGAGAGTCCAAATGAAGACCAGATTAAGTTGGGCCAATACAAAGAAAATATGACCAGTACCACCTGCTTATTTCCCTTCCTACTACTATCAATTATAAAGCTTCATTTTTCTTAAGTGGTTGTTTTTAGTATTCAATTTGAGCAGATCATATTATAGAAAACTGAAATAGAGGGAAGTTTGATGTTGAAAGTCATCTGGAACAAATATAATTTGACTATTCACATCTGGATAGAACTTGCCAAGGTTTATTACATAATCTCTGGAAATTTTTAAGGAGGAAGTAACTACAAATAGATATTGATGTATCAAAGTTTCCACCATATTGTTGTTGGCAGGAAAATTTGCTTTATTCAATGGATGACTCCTTTACCTGATCATAGGACAATTTTCTTTCTTGTTCTGGGTTACAAATATAAAACCAAGGGTCCTTCCCAAATAGGGCCTTTTCTGCCCTCATAACATGGACCCAAGAATGAAACAGTGCAACCAAAACCACAGTATATAGAATAAAGATATATACTGTCTGATATAACACTATATTTCACCCTCAAAATCACCTATAAAGGATAAGATACAACCAGGTATATATTCCAGAAAGAGAATGAGTGAAGACTATGGGTTTCTGAATTATATCATGTAAGGAATAGTTAAAGGAGTTAAGAATATTTATCCTAGAGAAAATAAGCTCCAAATGGACATAGCAACCTTTTCAAAAGAATTATACTTCTTCTGTATAGGATTAGAGATTGGACCCAGACCATTAGAGACAGAGCCCAGACATGGGATACAAGGAGAATTATTAGGGGACAGTAGAAGTAAGGACTTCTGAGAATCAGAGCTTTCCAAATATAGAATAAGCTGCCAATGGAGACCCTTAGAACTGAGAATGTTCAAGCAGAAGCTAGATGACTAATGACTGGCAACAAAATTATGGAAGAAAGACAGCATTTGACACGAACAGTTGCACTAAACAGAGGAAGCTCTATTCCATCTTGTGGATTCTTTAATCTGAAACTATTTAGTTGATTAAACCATTAGAAGAGAACTTGCTAACTTGCCAAATTGTCAAGTATTCTTTATTACTGTACCTTTACGACATACAAAACACCTTCATTAGTTTCTCTGTCTGTGCTGATTTTGAAATGTCCATTCTCATTGCCCTTCAAAATGGTAAAATTGGCTCTCCAGTTGGCAGTGTTAATTAAATCCTTATCTTCTACAGATATTCGTAAGATCTCCACATTGTATGCATTTTCCTCTACTGATGCTTCATACTGAAACAGAAAAGCTCATTAAAAACTTACTTTATAAAGAGAACTTTTACAAAGAAAGTAAAATATTTCTTCCACTCCAAAAGTATTGGTTCTTATCATTTTTACCTAGTTTATTTTAAAGCCATGAATCACAAAGACTGTTGTTTCATTAAGGATTATCTTTGAAATAAAGAAATTTGTTATAAATGAAGACAAATGTTACTTGTCTCTAACAAGGAGATAAAACACTACTATGAATTAATAAAGGAGATTTATATGTCAGCTGTTCAAACTTTAATCTTATTCATAAAATAAACATACATTCTTCAAAGCATGACACATATTTTATTCATTTATATTAAATAACAAATGACAACAAGTAGAGACAGATTTTGATATTATGCTTACAGTATTTTGTTTGAAAGTGGGTGCATTGTCATTTGAATCTTTTATTGTTATGATGCAAGTTGATGTACTTATCAATCCAAATACTTGACCATCCATGTCTTGTACTTTCATTATCAGTGAGTACTTATCTACAGTCTGAAAACAAAGCAAAAATTTAATTATTTGTTTGAAAACATTTGCTCCAACTTATAAATGAAACCTTCGTTGTGCAGTCTTCCATTTATGTGTATCCATGCTTTTATCTGATTTCTTATTTGTATACACTTTAAGCATTGGGATAAGTTGAAAAAGTAGACAGAGGTTAAATTACAAAGAGTCATACAAAGAATTTACACTTCTATTTTAATTATCAGGTAATAGGGAAAAGTTTTACAACAGTCATAAGGGGAGCACAAAATAAGAATATTTGAGTTTCAGGAAGAATATTCTTTAAAAGATTCAGCATGATTTGCAGTAAACTGAGCAGAAATTCAAAGAAATCAGTTAGAGGCATTTGCGTGGCTGAGTCAGTTAAGCATCTGACTCTTGGTTTCAGCTCAGGTCATGATCTCACAGTTTGTGAGATTGAGCCACTGAAAGCACAGATCCTGCTTGGGATTCTCTCTCTCTCCCTCTTGCTCTGCCCCTCCCCCACTGTCTGTCTATCTGTCTCAAAATAAGCAAACTTAAAAAATAGGAAATCAGTTAAAAAGTCTGAAATAGTCTAAGATACATGATCCAAATCTGAGGCAGTGGCAATGAGGGCAGAGAGTAAGGGTGACAGCAAAGTTACTTGGGAGTTAGCATTTAGTAGGATGTGATGGTAAATTCTATATAAAATTTAAGAGAAAGGAGAGAGTTGAGAGTGATGCTCAGGTGTCCTATTTGGATAAGCAGAGGGTATATCATCAACCAATGTAGCAAAAGCAGAAGGACAGCCTGTTCTCTGAGGAAGTGAGCTCTAGTGGGGTGAGCAAAAATGGCCCAAAAGAATGAGTTGTGTCTGGCACATACTGAATTTTATGTCCCTATGGGAAATCTGAGGAGAAATGTACAGAAGACACTTGGATGTGTGATGGTGATGGTAAAATTGATTAGTTTGTGGAACAGTCCTCTCTGCTAACTTTCTCTTCTTACTATTCTTTAGCCACTCCTTCGGTTTTGTTTTGTTTTGTTTCTTTACTTTTTTCCATTTTCTGGAAACCAACATTTTCACCCTGAGATGCTCCTCCTATAGGCTCCACTCTCGGATACTCTGCTGCTTCTTCCTTTAAATGCACTGGTTTTGTTTTTATATCTCCTTTGTTCATTTCTTTATTTCCGTGTTATTCCCACAACAGACTTTGTGGCTGTTCTCCCAAAATTCCTGTTGACTTTTCTTAATTTAAGGTTATTTATTTTGAGAGAGAGAGAGAAAACAGGGTGAGGACAAAGAGAGAGGGAGACAGAATGCCAAGCAGACTCCGCACTATCAGCACAGAGCCCAATGCCGGGCTCCGACTCACAAACCTGTGAGATCATGACCTGAGCTGAGATCAAGAGTATGATATTCAACTCACTGAGCCACCCAGGCACCCCTTGTTGACATTTTTTGGTCAGGGAAAGCAAACCTGGGTGTGCCTACAAATCTGTATCTTACAGGCTGTGTCTCCTTCTAAATACCAATCGATCTGTTTTTCTATTCCAATGGCTTTCCCTACATAAGGAAATAGAAGTAATATTTAAAACAGAAAACATAACATGGCTGGGAATTTTTATTGTCTTACACCGAAATAAAAGAGAACAGAAACTCCTAAGTCCATGGGAGAGCAAACTACAGTAAATGGAGTAGGGGGTCTAAGCCCCCAGCCAAATGATATTCTAAGGAGTAGAGGGCTACCTCTCTGTCCAAATAATGAGCGACTGTGGTGATGACACCTGTCCTCGGATGCACAGAGAAGAGCCCTGGAGACTTCGGGGTCTGCTCCAAAATGCTATACTTCAGGCGTGTATGCATTGTGTCCGGTTCATCTTTGTCTGTGGCACAAACCACTCCCACTGTAGTACCTACATGTTTTACCAAAAGAAGAAAAGAAAAAAGAAAGAAAAGAAAAGAAAAGAGTCTTTAATTTCCAGAACTGCAAAACATATTTAGGAGTATCGTCGCCTTTCAAATTTTAGCAATGATAGCGGAAATCTAATTTTATATGGATTTCTTACGAGAGGTGTTCCATCTTTCAATAGCACCAATGAAGAGGACTTCAAATTTACAACATAAAACACTATGAGGCTCTAGTAACGAGGTATACTTCTACTTTTCTCACAGTTAAAAATGTTTGATAAGAAATTACTAAAAACTTATGTAAATGGCCATCAAGAATAATTTCAACACATATTCCCACATACTGCAATACCAAACTGAGCTGGAGAGAGAAATCGTGTTTCCTAAGTAAATCAGATTTTTAACTGAATTTCTGATTAATAGATAAATCGAGACTGACTTGGGGTATAACTGTATAAGTGGCCAAGACTTGACCTTTCACACTCTAGTCTCCATTCCAGGATTTTTTCTTTTTTGTGCTAGTCTTTGACATATTTCATTATGCTTTCACCCACTTAGTATCCAAACTGCACAGCCCTCAGCCCCACTTAATCCTCAGGAGGGGATTTCAAACCATTCACCCTTCGGAGAGAATTTAGGTCAATTGTTTCTTCATTTGGAGCTATTAATATTTCTCATCTGTATGGAATGTAAGAATATTGCTCAAGTAAAGGATTATATGTATCAACGAGTACAAACAGGTGGTATTGTCAAGTGTAAGGTCAGTGTTCCAATGCCAATGAAAATGTAATACATAGATCCACTTTGCCCATACCCAGTGTGTAGGGCTGGTCTGAGGAACAAATACATAGACATATACAGTCACACACATATTCACATACACACACACACACACACACACACACACACACGTTTGCTGAAATACTGTATTTGAAGAAAATAAAAACCAATTAATACCAGAAAATAATAGTTTCAAATATTTTTCACTGTAATAGGTGTTTAAAATTTGTATGTGTGTATGTAAATAAACAAATACATATATATACACATATATATAAACATTTTAGAGAATGTCCAGTTATAGATTCACAAATAATGACAAAACTTTGCAGTGGATCAATATGAAGATATGAAGTAATTATCATATTATGAGAGAACAAATGCTATTCATCTATGTTTACATAGAGAAAAAGTTCCTAACCTTTTTAAGGCAGAATATTTTCTTCCTGCAATTTTACTGACAGGACACAAACACTGTTAATTCTCTGGATTAAAAACTGTTTTACTGGGGTGCCTGTGTGGGTCAGTCGGTTAAGCATCCAACTTCAGCTCAGGTAATGATTTCACGGTTGGTGCGTTTGAGCCCTGTCTCAGGCTCTGTGCTGACATATCAGAGCCTTAACCCTGCTTTGATTCTGTCTCCCTCTCTCTCTGACCTCCCAGCTTGCACTCTATCTCTCCTTCTCCCTCTCTCTCTCTTAAAAATAAACACTAAAAAAAGTTAAAAAAAAAAAACTGTTTTAGTTATCACAGAAAATCCTCAAAAATCCTGACTTCAAAACCCCTTTTCATGAGCACTATACTTAAATATTAGTTGAGCACCCACTGTCCCAAATTCTGTGTGTGAGTTAATGCAAACTCAAAGAACATCCAGTATTTCAGAGTATCACAGCCCAAACTGGTCCGAACCTTCTTGTGTGATTTGCTTAAAGGAACTTGGGTTCATCTGGGCATCAAAGTACTTGCCCTTGATTCTCATCTGTCACTATCGTAGAAAACAAAATTCTCAAGAAAGACTTTGAAATCAATAATCCCTTTGAAAAAAAAACTGAACCAGAGTCATAGTCACTCTAAAGCTAAAAATATTATAGGTCATCTAATGTAATTAACTCCTTTTACAGGTCAGGGAACTCAAAGGGACTTCCACCATTTCCCACAGTAAATTAATAACAGACCCCAAATCAAAAACTAGGTTTCTTAAACTCCAAACCAACCATTTTTATTTTTTTAATTGTACCATATGAGTAATAAAGAGGCTAACATCTATGACATCAAATTATCAAAGTGAAATATAAAGGGAAACAGCAGGTATAAAAATGTACTGAAGATCTGAGTAACTACTAGAAACTTTAATAGGCAAGTTAGCAAAGTCATCCTTTATGAATGAGTCCACACTCTTTCAACTTTATTGTGAATGGCTACTTTCCATGTTGCAAGTCTCAGAAGACATCGGGGCCAACGAACCTGAACACTCTGGTTTTCCATGTCTTAGCAAGTGTTTTAGAACATGTGATGTAAGTTTCTCTAAAGTTATCCCTGGATTCATTCTAAATTGGAAGTAGTAAAGTAGCAGTTTTAAGAAAAAAGATGATAAGAGCTTTAAAAAATTGTGTTTTCAGTAGATGTCACTTAACACCTCCTGAAATAAAACCTAATAAAAATATCAATATTAATTTTAATTTTATTGTAATTCTATCCTATATGTCCTCTCTTGGAGGAGAGGATAATGATAAACCCATAAAATGATAAAGTGATATAAAGTATATAAATTAAATATGATTCCAAGCTTAAATAACTGTTACCTGCTTTTATAATTAATTGGTATCATAGAGACAAGACCAGATTCCTGTAATATTCTGTAGGTTACACTCTGGCTGTGACAGGATTAAATGTATTCTGGTAAATATATACCGGTTCAATATCACCTCAGGATAATCTGGTCTTGAGTATAAAAAACCCAATACCTCAAAAAAATGTACACAAACATATTTAGCATAATACATTTTACTTTTAGAAGTTCTCTTACTATAAAGTCTGAAAAGAATAAGGATTGATTTAACTAAATAGAAGTCCTGAACCTCTGTACCTCAAAAAGTAGCACTAATAAAATTGGAAAGCAATAATACCCTGGGAAAATATTTACAATGGGACAATAGGTTATTATCCTTAATATGTAAAGAGCATTTTTAAGTAGATTAAAAAAAACAGTTAGGAGCAGGATAAACATCAAGAAACGTAAGAGCAAAGGAAATCCACATACATTTCCTAAAAGAAAAAATACAAATGGTAAAAGAAAGCACACACACAAAAAAGTTCAATTTTAAAAAGTTATCTTACCAAGTCTGCTACTTTCTGGAACTTCAAAATTATAAATAGCTTCTGTGAAAATAGGGTGGTTGTCATTTTCATCCTCCACTCTGATGGGCAGCGGAAGAGGTATGTCTGCTGAATACCCGTCTGCAGTTGAGGCATAGGCAATCAACTGTGAAACAGGAAAAAACAAGATCAATAGTCCATTAACACAAGATTCTAGCAAGAGGGAACACTATGCTTTATCTGCTACCTTCTTTGCAAATCTTTTGGATAGCCAACCACTAAGAATTTCTATTCAGTTCTCTTTCAATCATCAAAGCATCAAAAGGAAAAACACTTTAAGTGCAGTAAAGAGCATCCAGTATTTGGTAGAAATGGCTACTCTTTGAATAAAACTCCATAGTACAGCCAAGTCAGCGAGAATTCTGTCCATTAGACTCAGATTATAGTCCTTATTCTTTCCACAGTCAGGAAGTTACATTGGGGACAACAATTAAACTCGTTGCAGTTGGGAAAATCCTACTACATCATCTAAATAAAACCATGATTTTCCATCTGTAACTAACAAAGCCCTTTTATTTACTTCATAAATCACATATTTATAGAGTTTTTCTAACAAAATGCATTTACCAGTTTCCGCATTGCTAAGAAATCAAAGGGCAATGTAATGTCAAGTAGAATGTATTTCTATTCAGCATGTGATTACAACACGGAGTTAAAACTTTTGTTAAGAAATGTTATGTGGTGGACATCAGTCACATTTGCTTACCAGCATCTCTTCCTCCTTCTAGGAAGAGAATCCCTCTTTCCTATGGAGAAACATATGTGGTCCCCCTGCACCACAGGGATGACCACGTGACCTCAGAGAACTTAACCATAGTAATACTGAAAATTGTCTGAGTTATTCCCCATTGACTGTAAGCTCATCAATATCAGGAGTCTGGCTTATTAACCTTGTTTGGATTTGGTTTCCCACTTTTGCTTCCTTATCTAGTTCCCAGTAATGGTCAGAGAATCACACAAGTGGAAAGAAGGAAAAACAAAAAAATAAATAAAAGAAAATAAAAAAGAATAAGAAGAGAAGAAGACCCTTCTTATCAACTGTGCCCACATCCTGGAGAGAGGAAATTGTAGCATGAGCAGAAAGAGAAAGTCCCTCATAAACAAAACCAACTCGTGGAAATATACTAGAATATACATCCAAATACAACTAAACCTCTTTGCTTCATTTTAGGCTTACCTAACAGAAGTTAAGATAAAGAACAAATCAAATATTTTAAAATACTGCACAACCTATTTCTTTGACTCTAAGAAGAGAATGCAGAAAGACAGAAAAGAGTCCACAGAATATCAGAAGAAACACAGTTCAATCATTTAAAGTCATATATATCAGTAAAACTCTTACATCAAAAACTTCATATTCTTCACGATCCACAGGTCGGGTACAATACAGATTTCCAGTGTCTCTTTCTATGAAAAACAAATTTAAAGGTTCTTGGTCAACTCCATGCCCACTTATTGAGTAGAAGATGGTATAGTTCTGTGCTGCATCAGATTGAACCTAAGAGGGAAAAAAACACAGATGTAAAAATTTTAAATCAAAAATCTGTTAAAATACTATCTTTTTAATGTGACTTATGGATGTATATCTTTTTATTTTAAAGACACTTTGATAAAATAATAATCACATTTACCACTTCATCAGCACACAAAACAGTCAGAAGCATTTGGCAAAAGATTTTTTTAAACTGCTCAGTATAATGAAAATAATGTTCAACATAAAGAGTAACCAAAGAAAATCTAATTAAAAACAATAAACCATAACTTCCCATCTAGAGATTTGGCAGAGAGGAAAGGACAATAATACCCATTGTTGGCAGGAGCTGGGTCAACAGGGACTCTCATATACTGGTGAAAGGAAGAGCTAATTTGAATGTTCCTCAGGAATGGGAACTGGCAAAAATTAAAAGAAGGACAAATGCGAATAAACAAGGAAGACTCTTCCTGGCAGAGGAGACATAAAGTACAAAGGGAGGAGGTTAACACTGTGCTTGGAGTGTTCAAGGTGCAGCAAAGAGGCCACTGTGATTGGAGTGGGGAAAGTCAGTAGTCAGCAAGAAGCAGGAGACGAGGCCACATCATATAAGGGATTCCAAGGCTGTTGACTTTTCCTTATAGACAGGTGGGAAGACATTGGAAACTTTAGACAAGAGTAATATTATGTAATTTATATTTTAAAAAGGTAATACTTAGTGTTTTGTTAGGACTAAATGTGGGACGGTGGGTGGGTGGGTGGATAGGTGGTAAGTGAAGAAGCAGGAAGACCACTTGGTTATTGCAAGAATTCATGGGAGTGATGATGGTTTGTTAGACAGGATGGTAGTGGTAGAGATGGTGAGAAGTGCTTAGATTCTGTATATAATTTGAAGGTACAGCCAACAGGATCTGTTGAAGGGCTGGATGCATGGCATGAAGATGACACTATGTCAAAGGGTGCTGATATCCCCTAAGATCTATTCTGCCCATGTCTTTACACTAGAATTTATAGGTGACTATAAGATTGCCCAAAAGAAAGATATTTCCTAGGCTCCCTTACAATAAGGTATGGCCACATGAAAATGCCATTAATGGGATATAACCAAAAATAACATATGCAAGACCTAAACTGTGTCTAGAAAGTGAAGGAATGGGTTTCCCCATCTGTACACACTGAGGAGCTATCTTGCAGAGACGGCCAAGTTAAAAAAAAAAAAAAAAAAGTCAAGGTCCCTTGCGAATTTTTATTAAATATCTTTACCAGATCATACTTTCACATAAAATAAATCTCTGTCAGGCATAAGCCACTCAGTGACACTTTGGTTCCTGAATTATTTGCTGCCCCATCATGGAGGAAACAGCATGTATGCCCCTTGGTTGTGGATTCTGCAGTGTAGCTTGGAGACTCATTCCCGAAAGTTCAACCTAAAGTTTGTTTCTTCAGTCCCCACAACAATTCTATATATGGCTTATATGTTGTAATAAATCGCTGTCTGTTAACTACTTAGAGAGACATATGTTCTCTACAACTAAAACCTCACCAAACCGACTCTAAGGACCCAACAACTGAAAGAATGAAGGTGCCCATTAATTGAGATGGTCAGGTGTTTTTAGGAGAAAACCCAAACTTTTTTTCCCCCACATATGTTAAGTGTTAAATATACATTAAGCTTTCAAGTAGAAATAACAATTAGGCAGTCTGTCCAAGAAATATGAAGTCTTAAGTCTCTAATAGATAGCAGTACTCAAAGCTATGAGACTGGATGAGATTATCAAGGCAGCGAATATAAATAAACAAGAGACAAGGTTCATGGGCTGAGCCTGGAGCTCTCCAAAGTTTGGGGAAGGGAAAACATGGGAATGAGGAAGAACTAGTAAAACACAGTATGAACGAGTGGCTAGGGAGGTAAGTGGACAATTAGGTGAGTGATGTCCTAGAAGTCAAGGGAAGAAAGTACTTGGAGGAAGACGGAAGGGTCAGCTAGGCAAGTGTACACATGTCAAGGAAATGAGACTGAGAAGCGGTGACCAGCTTAGCAATGCAAGGGCTAAAATGAGCTATGATCAGTACAAATTTGGTAATCAGAAATCATGTCTTAATATGCCTCATCAGTGCTTAAAATACAATATTTGAGGGGTGACTGGGTGGCTCAATTGGTTAAGCATCTGACCGACTCTTGATTTTGGCTCAGGTTATGATTTCACAGTTTGTGGGATTGAGCGTTTCATTGGGCTCTGTGCTGACAGCATGGGGCCTGCTTGGGATTCTCTCTCTCCCTCTGCCCCTTACCCCTCTTGTGCTCTCTCTCTCAAAAATAAGTAAATAAACATTATTTATATATATATATATAAATGTATATATTTATATATATATATGTATGTATAAACAAAATTTGAAAAGAAGAAATAAGATCTAGCAATGGAGAATTTTTTAAAAAGTGTGAAAGACACTGGAAGGGCAGTTAAAAACATCAACAAATGGTCCCACTATTGGAATGAAACATCAGCCACAATAATAGAAAGAAGCAAGCACCAAACCACAGCCCTACTTCAGCGACCACTTTCATTGTATGTGTTCCACGTAGATCTTTATGAAAAGTAAACCTGACCTGGTTGAAAACTTCTCCTTGGCTTCAGGAAAAAGTTAAACTCCCTAACAGGGAGTTTACCATCTGTCTACCTGTGTCCTCTGCCTCATCTCCCTGCTCCAGCCCCATCATAAATAGAAGGACTCCTCTAAGGAGCTCGCCCTCTCCTCTGCACCTCCCTCTTCTTCTACGATTATTTACCTGCACGACGCTTTCCCATCCTTCAGGTCCAAGCTCTGACGTCTCCTCCTCTAAGTCTTTCCTTGATTTGTAGCACATTCCATCTCAGGACTTGGTGCTGACTCCATGAATTCTTAGATCACCCAAACCATCTCTACCACAGCACCCATCACTCAGTATTATAACCATTTGCTTACCCCGTCTTCCTCACTAGAATAACCTACATGAGAGCAAGGATATGGCTAAGTTTATTTCTAGTGTCATACTTAGAGCAGTGCCTTCCATGGGACATAGTAGGTGCTCAATAAGTAACTGCTAAATGAATGAACAAACTAATAAAGATCTTTTAATGGCTGCATTCTTTCTCATATAATAATTAGATTTTTAGTGGTTTTTCTCATTTTACTCACGTTTAGTATACTTCATGAAAATCTTCAATTGAATCTGTTTTTTTTTTTTATTTTTTAATGTTTATTTATTTGAGAGAGAGAGAGTGAGCAGGGGAAGGGCAGAGAGAGAAGGAGACAGAGAATCCAAAGCAGGCTCCAGGCTCCCAGCTGTCAGCACAGAGCCTGATGTGGGGCTCGAACTCACAAACCGTGAGATCATGACCCTAGCCGAAGTTGGACGCTTAACCAACTGAGCCACCCAGATGCCCCTGAATCTGTTTATTTTTAAATGTCTAAAGAGTTGTAAAGCCTGAACTACAGGCTCTGGGAATTAAAACCCTCCCAATCAGAAAGAAGTTTACGTAAAACCTACTTGCTGAAGAAACAAAGGGAAAGGGCCCAACGAATTCTCTTGCATTGAGCAGGGAATAGGGGCCCATCTCCTCTTGGAACGCCTGAGAACGGCTTCTTTGGCATGTCTTTTCCTCAGCACCTGAGTTTAGAGAAAGAAAATTAAATAAGTAAAAGTATCACAGCCGACGTTGCTGCAAAAGAGTGGACGGTCCATAAACCTAATGCCTCCCTGGAGGCTCAGTCTCAGGAGTCTTTTAAAGCCTTTTTTAAGGTCTTTTTGCATTAGGTGAGTAAGAAAGAATGCATCCACAGTTTAAAGGTTTCATAAACTGAAGAATTTCATTTTGTGTATCTTTCTAACACTGACCATACTTTCAGGTTAGGAAAATCAGCAATGCACTCTTAGTTTTTCTTCTCTCCCGCATAGACATAGTGAACATGTCCTCTTGATAACAATTTACTGACAGCCCTTACCTGTCACACTCTCAGGAGAACCAAAGCAAGAAAATGCACGTGCTTCTTTCCCTTATCACTCCCATCCGCACTCTCCAATATGGTAGCTCTAGCCATACGCTGACTACAGCAAAACCTTGGATTGTGAGTAAATAACTTGTTATATGAGCAAAGATTTCTAATAAATTTTAACTTGATAAACGAGCAATGTCTTGCAATACAAGTAGTACGTGACGCCGGCTGTCACATGATCACAAACTGAACCAACAGTTCTTGAAATTTCCTTTGATATGCAAGTGCTTTGGATTACAAGTGTATTTCTAGAACAAATTAGGCTCACAAACCAAGGTTTTACTGTATTTAAACTTAAATTGATTATGATTAAATAAAATATAATTCCACCCTTCAGTGCCAGTAGCCACAGGCCGAGTACTCAGTAGCCACTAACATCGGTCTACCATATCAGTCCACGCAGATTACAGAATGTTTCCATCACTGCAAAAAGTCAGATTGGACTTTTTATGGATTTCTATTTCATTTCATGGTGTTGCAAGGAAGAAATTTATTTCCTGGGAATTAATAAATAAATAATTTTAATAAACATTTCTTAATGTGCTAAACACTCAAATTAATTTTATCCTTAATACACTCAAGATGGATTCGATGTAATCCAGTCTAAATCTTTAGTCTTCTTTGTGACTGCTTTCACAACGGCATTCCTCACGATGTAGAATCTAGAACTGCCAATACCATGCATATGTATTTACTCATACATACACACACTGCAGGATTTCCATCCCATTTTAACAGCAGAATCACAGTGACACTTGAAATCAACCTCTAATTCACTGGGAAACACTACTCCTAACATGAATTTAACATACACCTACTGACTAGGAGTTAGGTATTACTGAAACTATTGGCAGAAAGGGGATCAACCGTGCCCTCAAGCAACTACAGACAAATTATTTACACAAATAAAAAATTCCAAATGCTTATAAAAGAGGAGTAAGCAAAGTGACACGGACGCTGACACATGAAAGCAATTAGTTGGACTTTAGAAGGGGAAGAAGCCTTCCCAAAGGAGATGCCATTAGATTTAACAAAGCAAAACCCAAAGCCAATGTTCAGTCGGGGCTGGTGGAGGAAAGGGGGGTAAAGAGAGGGAAGGAGGGAAAACAAACTGAAGGGAAAGGAAAAGAAGAGGATAAAACCCCATTTGTCTTTTTGTCCTCTGTGCAATTTTTAATGAAATATTTAAAGGAAAAGAAAAGCATGCCTGAAAACATTAACGTATTGTCAGTACCTTCTTCTGATGTTCCAGGAGCACCTTTATCTCTTTCTGTGTGTGTGTCTTGGTGTCATAGAGCCATATGGTGAATGACCTTTTCTCATCAGACACCACCACAGTGCCGGCTGTGTATACTGACCCATCATCTAGAACTCTGAAATCAGGGTCACCCGACCGGATGAGGTCTGCAGACCTGAGGCACTCTTTCAAGTTAACTGCAAGAAAACGTTTCCAAGTTGCAAAGTAGGAACACATGCAAAAGGAAAAAAAAAGGGAAGTGTTAAGATAGTGTATGCGTCTACTTTAAAATTATGAAGTAGAATGAAATAAACCAATCACTTTGCATTTACCAAATCTCTTAACTAGCTTCTTCACAAGTATAAAATAATAATTTCCTTTCAGTTAAAAAATAACTAAGTATTTCTTAATTGTATACATGCATTAAAGTGTTTTCCAACCTTATGTGCTTCTAAAAGGCTTATAAAAATGATCTTTCTATTAAAGAGGCGTGTGTGTCGCAACCACGGAGAAGCCGAGCTGTAACGCCCCCACACACAGCTGAATAAACAGAAAAGCTTTCCTCAGCATTATAGTCTGAGTCTTTTAAGATACACCTGTCTTCAGCCAGCAGTTATACACATGAGCCAAAAGAGCAACAGAGGGTATGAATTTAGCAAATAGTCAAGTAAGAAAAGTCCATCTTTTTTTTTTAAGATTTTACTTTTAAGTAATCTCTACACCCAACATGGAGCTCGAACCCACAACCCCGAGATCAAGAGTCACATGCTCCACCAACTGAGCCAGCCAAGAGCCCCAGAAAACTCCATCTTTGAATTCTTCCCACTGGCACTTTGTTGTCACATGCCTTCCCCCAGCCACCGGCTCCCCTTATGCCCTTAGTTCTCTCAGTGTGCCTGTTCCTAGCTTTCCAAGGCTCCCCACTCAAACCCTGCATGTCTTCTCTGCCTGGGAGGTTTCCCTGGTAAAAAGTAATAAAATATAAATTTCAGTGTAAGTAGTTTGAAACTTCCATCCAAAGTATCAAATCCATCTCATTCTTCAACTATCTGTTTTAACAACAACCAAACTGATACATTAATGTTCACTTAAGTAATAACTTCTCGTGGGATTCCTATGTTACTCATGTAAAGTGTTTTCACTTTAATCCAAATCTGTCACAGATGTAAACATTTAATCAAAACAAAGTGAATGTCTTTAGGAATGATGACATAATTCTCTCTTCACATTTTTAACATAAGAACTTCTGGTCTCTCCCCCTAAAGGAACACCCCTGACCTCTCTTTTACATCCTTTTTCTTCTTCCTTTCCTTAGAAATAAAAGTGACATTCGCATAATAAAAATTAAATGAGGCACTTAACCACAAATGGGACACTTCGCTGAAAAAGTAAATTTGGTATCTCTGGGGCAAGCTATATCTTGTCCCAACAACAACAAAAACAAACAAACAAACAAACAAACAAAGCAAACCGTGATGTTTTCTTCTAATGTTCCTTATGCCACATGGAAAGTTCACTGGGCAGAGCTTCCAGCTGTTGGGAAAGCTTGAGGTTCCCCAAATTCTCCACGTGAAAATGACTCATTAAGTTCAGTTTTGAATGGAATGGCTCACCTTATGATGTGTCTCAAGGCAGCTCTAACACTGATAAAAGCACTGCTCTGATTTTCTCAACCACTTATTGATATTTCTCCAATGCTTAGAATCCTAGGGTAATGAAAGGGCTACATTCTACATGTAACTCTTTATGTAATCTTTAATTTGTTAAAGCATAAATGACTACAAAAACGTGAATGAGAACATTTGCACTAGAATCAACCACAGAATTACGTGGGATTATAAAAAACAGAATATATATTTAAAACTATCTTGAATTGTATCTAAATATAAATAGATTAAGGCTAAATCCAAAAGGCAAAGATTGGATAACATGCTCTTTTCAGCAGAAGTAAACTAAATTTCTGTTTTAAAACCACTTGTTTTGAAATGTCTCACCTCTGCCAACTATGCTGTCTGCCTCTAGTCTGGAAGGTACATTAAATGTCACCATTTTGCAGGCTTCACAAGCAAAATTGAAGACCTAGAATTAAAAAAAAAGTCACATTAATACAGTATAGAATAAAGAATAAAGTCTCAAATAAACAGGAAAAGTAAGTCTTAGAGATCCACTGTATAGTTAACAGTATCATGTTATATATTTAAAATTTTTGCTAAAAGAATAGATTTTATGTTCAGTGCTTTGTCATAAGAAAATAATAGAAATAAAGAAACTTTTAGAGATGATGGATATATTATGCCAAAGACTGTGGTGAGGATTTCACAGATGTATACTTATCTCCAAACTCATCAAATTGTATATGTTAAATCTGTATGCTTTTTGTATGTCAGTCTTCAATAAAGTGGTTTACAAAGAAAGACTAAAGCAACCCGATTATCTCAATAGATGCAAGCAATTGACAAAACCCAACTTCTATTTACAATTAAAACCCCTCAATAAACTAGGACTAGAAAGAAACTTGCTCAGCATGATAAAGGGGCATCTATGGAAAATTTAGAACCAACATCTTTCATGGAGAAAGACTGAAGACTTTCTGTTGACATCAGGAACAAGAAATGATGCCCTTTCTCACCACTGCTATTCAACATTATATGGAAACTTCTAGACAGGCCAATTGCACATGTGCACGTGCACACACAAATTAAAGGCATCTCAAATGGGGAGGAAGAAGAAAAATAGTTTCTATTTGCAGATGATGCAATCTTGTATATAGAAAATTCTAAAGAATCCACTGAAAAAAACTCAAAAATCATAAATGAGTTCAGTAACACTGCAAGATACAAGATCAACCTACAGAAGTCCATTACCTTCCTATGCACTAGCAATACAAAAATCTGAAAACAGAAGTAAACAACTACTTCCTTTCACAACAGATGTTCCATCTTCATGGATCAGAAGATACATAATCTATCTCTCTCTCAAAAATGAATAAATGTTAAAAAAAATTAAAAAGAAAGAAAAAAGAAGATACATTTCCACAATTCACCAAACAGGTTCAATGCAATCTCTATTAAACCCTCAAAAAGTTTTTTTCCAGAAATTAAAAATTAATCTCTGTAGAAATCCAAGGTACCCAAAGACCCAAATAAATTTGAAAAACAACAGAGTTGTAAGACTCACATTTCCCATTTTCAAAATTTACTACAAAGATACAATCATCGAGACAGAGTGGTACTGGCATAAGGGTAAGCGGAGAGACAAATGGGATAGAACTAAAATCCCATAACTTAGCATGTACCTTTGTGCTTAGCCAATTTTTGGCAAAGGTTTCAGGAAGTTCAAGGGAAAGATGCAGTCTTTTCAATAAACGGTGTTAGATAGTTTAATATCCTCATTATGAAAATGAATTTGAACCCCTATCTCATACCATATGTAAAATTAACTCAAAATGAATCACAGACCTAAAGAACTAAAATGATGTCTCGGAGAACTAAAACACAAATCTTGATGATCTTAGGTTAGGCAATGGTGTCTTGTAACACCAAAAGTACAAATGATAGAAGAGTAAGTAATAGGACTTAATCAAATTTAAAACTTTTGCTCCTCAAAAGATACTATGCAGAAAGTAAAATTACAACCTAGAGAATGGGAGAAAATATTTTCTAATCACATAGCAATAAAGGACTTATATCAAAAAAATAAAGAAAAACTTTTACAACTCAATAATAAAGACAAACAACACAAGAAATGGGCAAAGGATTTGAATAGATGTTATCCAAAGACATATAGTCAATGAGTTAATGAAAAGATGCCCAACATCATTAGGCACTACAGTCATGCAAACTTAAACCACAATGAGATACCCATTAGGATGGATAAAATAAACAGGACAGAAAATTACAAGTGTTGCCAAGGATGTAGAAAAATTGGAACTCTCATGCATTGCTGGAAAGATAAAATGGTGTGGCAAATATGGAACACAGTTTGGGAGTTTCTTAAAAAGTTAATCATATGCAACATATAATCCAACAATTTCACTTCTACCCCTAAGAAGTAAAAACCTATGTCCATGGAAAAACTTGTACATGAATATTCAGAGCAATATCATTTACAATAACAAAAAAAAATGGAAACTCACATATCCATTAGGTTATAAATGGATAGACAAAATGTGATACATTCAAATGGAATATTATTCAGCCATAAAAGGAGACAAGGAGCTGGTGTTATGCTCCAATACCAATAAGGATAAACCTAAAAAGCATTATGCTCAGTGAAAGAAATGACACAAAGGAGCACATATTGTATGATTTCACTTATTAAAAATGTCCAAAAGAGACAAATACACAGAAACAGACTAGATTAGTTGCCTAGGGCAGGGGGTAGGAATGGGAGTAGCTATAAATGAACAGGAGGTTTCTTTTTAAGATGATAGAATTGTTCTAAAATTGGATTGTGGTAATGATTGCGCATTCTGTAAGTTTACTAAAATGTATTGAGTTGCATACAGCATAGGTGAGTTTTACAGAATATAAATTATTATCTCTAAAAAGCAGTTTTAAAAAATGATGTAAAAACCATAAACACCATTCTTTCCACACCCACCTCTACAAATTGGCCATATTTACAAATTCATGTAAGTAGCTTCAGCGAAACAAAACTGGATAATAACCACAAATAAGTATTTCACTTCTGATAGAATCAAATATAAAACAAGTTCCTTCACCAAATGAAAAGACTAAGTCATGGTGGTAACAAACTCTATATGTGTATACATATGCATATCTTATGCTAATACATGCTCTAAATATTACTGCAGTGTAAGATCTATCAATGATAGATCTATCTTCATCTATCTACTTAAGAACAATGACTCAAAAGTAGGGTCAATATGTAATAGTGTTCTTTATTTTAAATATAGTAAGCAAAAAAGTTCAGAAAGTCATAACCAGACTGCTGTTACAATGAAGCAGTAAATTATTTGCTCTTAAAAACAATTCAACCATATTATATATGCTCAACTGAATTGTCCCTAAGAATATAGTTGTCACCAGGGGTGAAAAATAGTTTTATTTAATAATGCACCCATTGATCCAAATATATTTTAGCTCTATAGTTGGTATTTCTGAACATCAGTAGAAAGCCATGTTCAGTACATTTTAATCACAACTCTTTACAAAATATTTGAAGTCAGATATGAAATGTTTAAATCAAATAGAATATACTAAAATAAATATGCATGCACCTTTTCAGATTTTTAAATTAATATTTTGCCATTTTTCCTTCATTTTTGTAAGTTTATTTATTTTCTTTTAATAACCGCTACACCCAACATGGGGTTCGAACTCACAACCCAAGATCAAGAGTCTCATGCTCTTCAAACTGAGCCAACCAGGCACTTCTTTATTTCATTTTTTTTAAATAAAAAAAATATGTTTATTTATTTTTGAGAGAGAGAAAGAGACAGGCAGACAGACAGAACACAAGTGGGAAAGGCACAGAGAGAGAGGGAGACACAGTATCTGAAGCAGGCTCCAGATTCTGAGCCGTCAACAAAGAGCCCCACCAGGGGCTCGAACTCACAAACCGTGAGATCATCACCTGAGCTGAAGTCAGACACTTAATCGACTGACCACCCAGGTGCCCCTATTTCACCTTTTAATTAAAATTTACAGATGTGGCCATGCTCTATTCCATTTCCTTCCTCTTCTTCAAGGGATGGTTCCTTCTAAGTTGGCATTTATACTTCCTTTGTAGGCTCTTGTACTTTTATTATATGTGCATGTGCCTATAAAGTATAAGCAGATATTGCGGACAGCTTGTGTCTCATACATCCTTTTACAACTTGTATTTTTCACTCAACAATATATTTAAGATTTTTCTGTGAATATACCACAGTTTATTTTGCTCGTTCTCCTATGATGGTCATTTAGATTATATTCTTGTTTTCTACTTTTCTATTACAAATAACACTACAATAAACATCTTTGCAAGTATAAGATGTTAAGATGCATACCTGCAATAGAAACATCTGAGGCTCTCCAATTCCAGTAACTATTGCCAAGTTGCTGTCCAAAGTACTAACATCAATTTATATTCATGTCCTCCAGAGTATTAGATCTATTTCTCCTCACCTCTAATACAATTCATTATACTTGACTTTTCTAACTGTTGCCAATTTTATAGCTGTTGCTTTAGTGTGCATTTTCTTAATTTCTAGTGAGACTGAACATAACTTCTTGTGTTAATTTGTCATTTACCTTCTGTAAATCATCCATTCCTCTCATTTTGTTATTTTTGTTTGCTTGTCTTTTTTAAATTATATTTTACTTGTAGGCTTATGTAGTTTTCTTTTAACTCTTTTAGTGTTATCATTTGATAATTAGTGTTTCACTTTGAAAGTAGTCAAATTTATTAAGCATTTCCTTTAGTTTTTTAAAGCAGTCAATCTCATTAAAATTTTCTTCCAGCTTATACTTCTGTGTATTAACATCTCCCCCTCTGCCTGTCATAAATATACTATCTGATATTTTCTTACAAAAATTTTAAAGTTACTTCCAACTTTTAAATCTTTCACTCATCTGGAATTATTTTGTGTGTGATTCACTGAAAATATCTAATCTTATCCTTTGCCATATGGATAGCCAACTATCTAGAACCATCACTGAGCAGCTCGTCCCTTCTTAACTGATAGTGATAATGCTGCATATGTAATATGCAGGGACCCCAATTATAGAATCTATTTCAGGACTCTGCATTACTTCATCAGATATGTTTTTTTTTTTCTCTACACCAACACTATATAGTTTTAACTAATGTAGCTTTATTATAGATGGCAATATTTGTTATGGTGACCCAACCCTTCTTATCTTCCTTTAAATTATGGGGCTTTATTTTTAGCCTTCTACTCTTTCAAAAAATTCTTATGACCAGATGACCAAGTCCATGAAAACCCTTTCTAGGATTTGCTTGCTTGCTTTACTGGTCCTTGCTTACTTTAAGTACTTCCTATTAGTTTGTCAAAATCCTACATGTGTAGGATCTCACATGTAGCCAATCCTATAGCTGGAAAAATAGCAGAT